ATAAAGTGCAGAATAATAGGGGTTATGCACCAGGGCTTGCATAGGTAAGATATAACCAAAGTTAGCATTTCATCGTGGCTACACGATCATCAGGCACCATCTTTTCCGCTACTTCGAGCATCTCCACGACCCATCGTTGTTTCTATTATGATATACGTGGATGCAACGCATAGATGTAAATAATTAACGACAACCGAAACTCTTAGAAATTCGATTATGCCTCGTAAGCTAACGAGATAGCTCTAATGTGCTAGGCTATGTATCTAGGTTATCGAGCTAGACACTAATTTTCCACAATGTTTTAGTTATAAATCCCTAGGTGTTTCGGCATTTTATTGATTTAAACATATATTTTCGAACTACGACACATTTAGCTACCTTAGCAAACTAATTATTATGGAGCTACAAAAACTACAATGAGCACCTAATAATGTTAGGAATCTACTGTAAAAATTTTAGGGCCAGTACTACTACTAATTTATCACAATAATTCCTACAAGTTCATATTTTTTCCATTTTAAGTGCTTCAAATTAATTAGTCTACTCTTAAAAATTATATGAAACTAAGTGAGCAAAATACATTAGCAGATAGGTCATGATTTTAGGAACCTAACAAAATTAATTTCATAATTTTTCGACACCTACATCATTTTATATGATGTACCAAAGATCAGCTCAGAAATATAATTAGGCTGTGTTTAGTTCGCGAAATTTGAGAATTCGGCTACTGTAGCACTTTCGTTTTTATTTGGCAATTATTGTTCAATCATGGACTAATTAGGCTCAAAACGTTCGTCTCGCGATTTCTAACCAAACTGTGCAATTAGTTTTTTTCGTCTACATTTAATGCTCAATGCACGTATCGCAAGATTCAATGGGATGGCTACTGCAGCACTTTTTGGAAAACTTTTTGGGAACTAAACACAGTCTTAGAAAACTATTTAACTAATTCGCTTAAAAAGAAAAGGTGGTGAGCCCACATGAGTCGGCCCACGACGGGGGCAGCCCGTGCATGTTGGCACTCTTCCAAAAACGCCCTCGCATTACCAGGCATTAGCGCGAGCACTACACGTACTATTCCTATAAACAACGGCTTTGCAAGGAAGCCCTCGTATTCTCTCGTCTTCGCATCGGAGAGGTCCCCGACGCCTCCGCGCTCGTTGGCGCGACACTGGCCGGCACTGAGCCACTATGTCGCCCAACTAGGACCCACACAGACCTAGCTAGGGGGTCGACCCTTACCTACGGGCTGACGCACAACTTCGGGCAACGGTGGCACAAGTCGAGACGTAGCAGGATAGCCTCTCCACGACGACGAGCACCCTGCGGCGGTGGCAACCATGTTCCGGTGAGCCTTAGCATAAAAGAGGTGATAGAAACAGTGGGTGAGCATCAGCGACTCACCACGCACCTACCCATGGTGGTGGCTTGGCCGAAGACGCCCTGAGCAAGCCTGGTCGTGTGCGCGCGGCAAGCGTGACGGCGGGCCACGGTGGAATGTCCGTGTCAGCACCGCGAGGGTAGCCATAGGGGTACGGCTTAAGTGCGCATAGCGAGAAGGGGTGCAAGGCGGGTCAGGTGGTGCAGCCAATTTGGCTTGAGGCAGTGGGCTGGTGGCTGCCTACGATGGTGGAGGGCTGGGTTTTAATGGCGCTGTGGCTGGAGCAAAACTCCAAAATTAGAGCTCGGCCAGGCGCCATTCAAGGCAGGGTGGGGACGGTCGACTAGAGGACTTGATGGCGGCACCAGAGACACGATACCACGGCCCGAGATGACTCCTCCCATCCGTATTAACCCACGCGGCTCAGTCGGCCATGGCGGGGAGAGCAGAGAGAGGACCGGAGCTCGACGTGACCGGCCTTCGTAGGATGCATCTGTCGCGATCCGACCAACCCACGCGTTGCTACTACAGACAACACACTCTGTTGTCGGGTCGGGTTTCACTAAAGATCAAGGAGACGATAGCAAAATTAGCAGGAGAAAGCATATCTTGTTTTAGAAACGTTATTCTTAGTTTTCGTACGTACCCCTTCCCTAGGATCTGAGCCATCGTTCTGCGACCGCGCATTCGGTCTCCTTGCGAGTCCAACTTTCCTTGAGCCCCCACGCGTAGCGGGGGCCCGGTCGAGAGTCGGCTCGTCTTTGTGATCATCACCCCGTTCGCGGTTTCCGCAACCGAAGGGGTTGAGCTAACGTCACTTGCCTCGATGGCTCGAGTGTCGTGCTCGGTGAGCTCGCTAACGGGTATGTTCGAGTGGAATCTAGGTCCGTCGTTCATAATAGGGTCAACATAGCCCTCATATGGCATTCTATTGCTCCTTAACCCGTCTCCCGACATATGCCTAAGCCGTTCCGGAGACCGACTCAGGTGGCCCGCTGGGCTCCCCACGATGTAGATTCTATGGGCATGGCTCCAGGTTAGGATCGAATGAGAAGGTCGAGATGACCATGTTTGCTTCTAAGCGGATCGGGCGAAGGCCGCTGGGGCTCATCTGCATTTTCTCCCCTGGCTCTGTTCGACGCGAGACGGCCTCGAGCCCTTCGTGGGCCGGCCTTCAAACATTGGTCGGTCGCCGCTCATGTTGAATGAGACGACTACCACTTCGTGACACGACGCAAAGCGTTGCGATGTAATAATTGCATATGCGATGCCTGGATGTATGAGAATGGAGGAACGAATGCTCATGCTCTGGAAAAGTAAAATGGGGGTCGGTAAAGTTACCTCAATAGCTCGAGTGACGGGTTTGGGGAGCTCTTACCGGATATGTCCGAGTGGAATCCGGGTCCGTCGTTCGTGACGGAGTCGGCATAATCCGTATGGGGCATCCTACTTCGCCTTACCTGTCTCTCGGTAGCGGCCTGAGCTATCCGATCGACTTGGGTGACCCGCTGAGACTTACCTCGATGGCTTGAGTGACCCGCTGACGACGCCGTGCAACGACGATCAGAACCATATATGGCCATGCAGCCCGAGCCCGTCGGCCCGGCCCATGGCCTGTTTTTTGGCCTGACCCAAGCCCGGCCCGAAGGAGCGGGCCGTGCCTGGGCCTTACCCTAGGCACGTGGGCTGGCACGGCACGGCCTGCTCCTCAACCGGAGGCCCGCTGGCGGCCCGGTCTGCCAACCCCGCGCGGCCGCGCCCCCAGCTCACCTCCCCGGCTCCCCCTAACCCTATCTCATTTCCCCGTATCCCCGGTCCCTGTCCCCCTTTCCCACACACGCCGCGAGCAGCATCTCGCTCCACCCCGCGTCCCATCTGGCTCGCTCCTCCATCCTTCCTTCTCCACTCCGCCAGTGAGGTACGCCGCCGTGGGCTCGAGGCTCCTCACCTCCGCTCGCCGGTCGGGATCCAGATCCTTCTAAAGATCTCTGTTTTTTCAGATGTACCAGTGGAATGCACAATGAATCTCCAATAATCCCTTGGTTAAGAGTGAGTATATATTCCTAGGTCTAATACCATCTTGTACTTTTAAAACCAACCAATGGTTGTAACACGAAACACATGTTGTGTTATTATTATTTTATTATTTACCTGACATGTTCTGTGCCAATTTACCTGACATGATCCATTTGTACTTCTAAAACCAACTTATGGTTGTAACATTCTAACACTTCCTTGTAGGTGAGTCTGGAATGAAATGATCTCCATTTGGCTTAGTTGCTGCTTTTGTAGAGATTGAAGATGTTCTAACACTCATGAAGATGTACTGTTTCCATCAATATATTGATTTCCTGTACTGTTTCTTATCTTATTCATCTCAAAATGCACTTCTGAACGAGCCCCGCCACCAGCTAGCTATATATGCCCGGCCTATCCCTCCCGCCCTTTCCCATCCCAACAAGCCCAGCTCGCTAGTTTCGTGCTCCTCTTCTCCTCCTTCCCATATCTCGAGCACCGAAACCGATCGAGAAGCTAGCTAGCGAGATGGCGGCCACCCTCAGGCTCAGGATCCTCGCCGCGGCCGCCGCCGTTGTGGCCTCGTCGCTCGTCGGCGTCGCCACCGCGTCGCCGCCGCCGCCGTGACTGCTGGTCCGGCGCTCGCTATCGGCACGTTCGCCGTGGCCGCCGTTGGGTACCTCTTCAGCTGAGCTGGGTTGCCGTTGCGCTCGTCGTCTTCATCGCTACTTCTACTTGATTGTTGTTGCCAGTATTTTCATGTTGGGTGTGTTTTGATCGGTTGACGTACGCGAGTTGCCGGTTGGGAGTGTGTGCATCTTGGATTCTTGGTTCATGTACTCTCCATCGATCGACCTGTTTACACAGCTATATATATGAAGTAATGCAGTGAGTTTATATTCATTGCGTTTTGTGTGAGATAAACATGGCATATTAAGCAGCAACACGTCAACACTGCAATCCACTGCTGGGGTACAACGGTAGATTAGATAGAGAATGTCCAGTGTTAGCATAGTAGTAGAATAGAGGGTTTTAAACCACCGATACAAAATGATAAATCTACACAAATGCAGGAGTTACTAGTATTTGTACAAACTTGATAAAATCACAACTTATCGACGTAAGGTCCTCCTTTGTTCTAACAAAAAGAGTTGGTACAATAACAATGTAAAGTAAATTCAACTGCTGTCAAAAACAGTACAAAAAATGCTGAAAAATAAGTGCGTCTCATCAACTTGCTAATCAATGTTTCCTAACTGCGCTGACCGCCTCACGCCTCGGCCCTGTGACTTGGCAAGGGGTTACACATCCAAATGTCTGTACAAGAGGCACAGATGGATCAGAATGGCTTGGTAAAATCCGCATGTCCAACGCCTCTGCTGGGTATGAAGTATCCAACTTTTATCACCCTCCGCTGAGTCCAAGCGTTGAAAATGCTGAACCCTCAGCAGCATTAATGCATGGAAAAAATTAACGAATCAGTTTTCATAAATCCTCTAGAAAGAATGAGGCAAGGCAGTCTTCGTGAGGCACATGCATCTCTTCAAACGTTCCTCTACAATCCAGGGCCACAATACTCGTTTTATCGTCGTCAATTGCCAACTTAAGATGACCTCAACCGTGTCTGCCCTTTGCCCTGAATCGAGAACATGAATGGAATGAAATGTGACGTATGATAGCCAAAAGAAATATCTTCATATGAGTGCATTTCAAATTTACCTTTCTCCTTTTCGTTTTTTCAGCTTTCCAGCATGGGAAGAGCCCATGGCAACCAGGTGCTCCGGACTCAGAAACCCTGTAAATCAGGCATGGAAATAGTGAGTGTTACAAGCTGAAATGTAGAAAGTAAAGAAGACACAAACTTTTGTGAACCATGAAACACATAGAAACTTTTGTTGAAAGTTGACTATGGAGATGTATAATGCTAAGGAGAGATGCTTCAATGCCACCTCCAAAGTCAGTTAATTTGACTAAAAAATAAGAAATTCTGTCAGTGTGCTGCCCTTTGTAAGTTGTATGCAGCTACATTTATGCAGTTGTTTACTTTTTCTAGTAGCACTGCCAATCTTCTAAAGACAAGATCAAAAACTATCATGCAGATTACAAATAGTAAATATGTTACTTACACGCTCTCATTGTCACAATTTGCCAAATGGTTATTTCTATGCAAAAGGCTTGGTGAAATGGCATAACCATTCTCCATCTGTACATTTTGACTTTTATGGGGACCATGACTGTCACTGATCTTTAAGGCTTTCAGTTCATCGGACAGATCCTTGTCAACATGCCTTGAGGTAACAATGCTGGCCACTGAGGACCTCCCATGATGCTGACCACCATTTTGTGGAAGAATTTGATTTCTCTCAGGTCTAGCTTGATTTAACATACCAGGCATGGTTTTTTCAGCACCCTGGAGCCATGCACTCTCTAACCTTTGTTCATCAAGAGCTGATATCTTCAACTGTCCAACAGAAACATCCTGGCCTCTTGTTCTGTGCATTCCTGAATTTTCATCAGAGATGATCATGGGAACATTGCTTGGCTGCACTCCACCAGCACCTGATAGATTCAGAACACCCTTTCGGCGTTCACTGTTCGTTGAACAACTCAAGACATCAGATTCAGCTGTCTCATCCGGGTATGTCTCATGCTTTAGTCCTCCAGCAAGAAATTCTTGCACTAAACAAATCCTGACTTCCACATTGCACTTCAGTACAGTTTCCATTGCATTTCTGATGCTGCTAATAAATCTTTGGGCTCGAAACTTTATATCATTGTCCTCAAATGCTATAAAAGCAACAATGGTACCTGAAATGAAGTAATACCAAAATCAAGTTTGGGCAGATGAACAGCTGTGCACCAGGAAAGAACAAATAAGTGGCAAGAAAAACGAAGAAAATTTCCTTGTTGGTCTCTCGTTTATTCATGAGTGTTCCTATTTGTATGCCACGGATTTTTCAAGCATCATTTACATGCTCAACATACAGATTTAGTCACAATTACGCATCAAATATGCTGAACCTGTCAAGCAGCAGGGTCAGTATTGTTGCTTGCACTGCCAGTGACTAAGAATGCCGAATTTGGATGTAAACTAGAAGAATTGGAGACTTCAAGGTACCTAGACTTAAAGTTGCAATAAAAAATAGGCTTCTTGAAAACATAGTAAGCAAAAGTTGATTAGTAACTTAGAGATACAGATACTAAATAGCCCAATATAAATTGCCTTTCTATTACATCTTTCTTTTAAACCATAGAACTAAGCTCCATACATCAACAAATAATTAGGTGGAATTCCTTTCCAGCCCGATGTTTGAAACATATATGCTCTAGTTCAATAAAACAATGAATGAATTTTATCAATTACATGCATTACCATGGGCTAGTGTGTAACAATATGGTTAGTGTTTCTGCATCTTTCACCTAGTTTGGACTTCGTATTCAGTATTTACCGATTCAACTAAGTACAGTTTGTCAAGCTATAGTGCAATTTCTGTTTTGAAGCTAAATGGCTACAAAAGAAAAGCTGGAACCTGAACTTAAGTGTTGACAACTCTGATGATTGCATTTATTTCGTCATGGAGTTGGGACCGCAAGCAAAAGATGTAATGCAACTGCATTCAGCTTTTGCGGCAGTTTAGTTACCCTAAGTTTTCGCATATTGTAAAGTCGGAATCCAGAAATTCTCATTCTGGGTTTCTGACTCGAGCTTTAGGCCATCAAAGTTTTAAAATGATGCAGTGGAATTAAGATGCCCTACATGGTCAGGAAGCTCCAGCTCTAATCCAGTGGTCAGAAGTACTAGAGCAAACTTGTAACTGTAAGTTGTAAACGAAAGGCCTTAAAACATTAACATGGCTGGGACAAGAATGAGAATGCAGTGCTTTACCTTCACATTCTTTGACAGATGCTAGTTTCCCATGATCATAGAGAAGCTGCCGCAATGTCTTGGAGTGGCAGTTCTCTATGCAATTCCTCCAAATTCGGGTAAGGTTATCTGAGATTCCACTATTCATAGCCATTTGCTCAGAAGAAATACTTATTTGAGCAGAATCCAATAATGCTCTATCAACAGACCTACACTCAGCATAAATCATGTTTTCATTGGGTCTCATCCTGGAGGATAATGAAGCAAGGCCCTGAGGACTAGAGTGCCCACTGGTTGTTTTCAGATCCACTATTTTCTTTGAATCAGGAAAAGTGGATAATTGATGAGATGTAGTCCTGCTCGCAGAGGATTCTCTCACTGCTTCCATTACGGTTTCGCTGGTTGCTTTAGCACTTTGCTTACTGCTGCATCTTGATTGAGTTATTTCTGAATTATGACCAGAACCAAGCTGGAGTAAAGCAGCAGTGAACCAGGTCGAACGCTCGCTTGAAAGTCTTATCTGCTTTTCAGCGTCAGAAAGAATCCTCAGCGCTTGTTGTAATCTTTCCAATTCAGCATCAGTTACTAAAGAATGCAGCAAACATGTTAGAACTTCAGAATTCAGATAAATCTTTCTTGTTTAGATCAACACACGTTCAAGAATGCACTATATTGCAACAGATTGACAGACCACAGATCCATTGTACCAATCTCAATTGGAGCGACAAGATAGATTACAAGTGCTGGTGCCACACAAAAAATACATATCCATAATCCATACTGGCAAGGTTACTAAGTTTAAGAGTTTACATCTGTTTCTTGGCACAGATATTGCAAAGAAGGGAGTAGTTGTGTGATAGGCAGATGCACATTATTAATAAGAGCGATACTGATGTGCACCATTGAAATAAGCCAACTGTTTATGTAAAGAATACATAATGAATTTGTTTCTTTAGGGATATAGAACCTTGTAAGTCATAAACAAACCGCGATAATTTCATTTTCTGACAGTTACACAGAAGAAATAAAAGTAGCCGAGCAACACACCTATATACACTACATTTAAACATATTGTGGAAAATGATCTAGGGTTGCACACATTTAAAAGCCATATGAGTCAGACCCTGAAGCTAAAGATGTTAGATAATAAAACTAGTAAAACAGAGAGCACAGTATCCAACAAATATGATGCAAGTGGAAACAATTGTGTTTCTCAATAAAAGTGTATTAAATTATGGTCATTGAAGGCATCCAGGCCTGCATTGATTCATGAGAAAAGTATTAATTATATTTAAAATGGTGGGCATGACTGCATAACTGTTTTGTTCTACATGAGTCCTTGAAAAATTCATCATCTCCTCAGCAAGAAAATTAAGTACTATCCAATCAGTGTATTTTCTTAGTATAAACATAAGCATTACAGCTCAATTGTCAATTCATTTCATATTTTTTATAAAAGGTGCTAAAACATCAAATATCACTAAGTTTCATATGTTTACCGTTGCAACCAGACAAGATAATAGTAGAGAAGCTGAATGTATCAGTTTACTTTGTCAGACAATCACATTTACTTGTCTTCATAGTATTACTAATGCAATTTCATAAGATCAACAAAGTTGTTAATCAACATCTTTATTCTAAAAGGAAAGAATTCATAAACATTTATCAGGCATTAGAATCTTAAGTACAGTGTGTTACCTCCACAACAAAGGAGTGGAAACTCCAAATACACTAATGCACAACATTAAAAAAGAATGATGATACTGAATGACTGGCTCCATAAGAAAAACACACTTAACGAGTAAAGCATGAACAGTGAGTCAGCGACACAAAAGATGGATTTTGAAAGGATTGCATCAGAAAGTTGACTCACTATTTCGACCACCGATTCCATCTCCACCGCAAGTAGGGTCCGCCAATCTATAGGTCCCAGCAATGATGTCCATTATGAGCCCAGCTAATTGTGACATTAATGCCATTGGATCAACACCAGAATCCATCAGCTCTCTCGACCTTTTGACTGTTTCGGCAGTGTCTGATGACATGGCTATCTCCAATAGGTCAAGGAGTTTCTCCTCAGACACAACCCCAACCTGTAAAGCATAGTTAAAGTTTGTGTGACTGATCTAAATATGGCATTACCATTATGACTTCCAAGTTGGTACAGCTATAGAGGGAATCCTATAGGGTGTTTGGTTTGAGAAATTACTCCATTCTAGAATCTAGATGAGGTGGTGCATTATGAGTCCATTACTCGAATTTGATGGAATGAATTCCTCATACTAGTACTAATTATTAGCTTGTGAGGAATGAGGTGATGATGGATCAACCCATTCCATTCCACAAACCAAACAAAAAAGCGAGGAAGAAGATGATGGACTAACTCATTCCTTAAACCAAATGCCCTATTAGAGTTCTGCTTTCCATTAAAGAATGAACTACAAACGTACAGTAAGTGAGAAAGGGAAGGAGGGAGAGTTCAAACAATCTAATCCAACGAGTTTGTGATTTGTGAATGTTCATTCCAGATAAAACAGAAAGAGAAGGCTCATGAATCCGTAATCGAAAAACAAGACATTGAGTAGAGAACATTGAATGAAAACAAAGCCTATTTTGCATATATCTACATAACATATGGTAATCACTAATCAGTGTGTTTATGTCTTCATACTTCACGATGAACTTATCTAAGCATAATCCGTTTAGACATGTGCAAGTCCCAATAATACCTCATTGAAGCAACAGAATAGAGAAATTTCATAGTTTAAAAAATATCCAACAATCTGAAAAATAACTTACCAGATCATTTACAAGTGATGGTGTTATCTTCTTCCCTAGTAAACACAACTGATCTAACATTGTCTCTGCATCTCTCAATGATCCATCCGAATTTAGTGCTATTAAATCTAGAGCAGCCAATTCAACGTCAAGGTTTTCCTTCATAGCAATTTTCCTCAGCCGGCATACTATGTCAATGTCTTTGATCTTGGAGAACATGTACTTTTGACAACGTGATATGACAGAACGGGGAAGGTTTTCAGGGTCTATTGTTATAAATATGAAGACAACACGAGGTAATGGTTCATCAAGAAATTTCATAAATGCTGACCAGACTTTAGAAGATACCATATGGCATTCATCGACGACAAATACTTTGTACCGCGAAGAAGTTGCAGATGCTGGTATATTTTCAATCAAGTGCCTTACTCTGTTTATACCTTTTCTGTTGGTAGCATCAACCTCAATTAGATTAATTCCATTTCCAGTGAAAAAATCACTACACTCGGTACAAACTCCACAGGGCTTGGTCTCTCCAGTAGCAGTACAACTTAAAGCTGCTGAAAGTATTCTTGCAGAAGATGTTTTTCCTGTCCCACGAGGCCCATGGAACAGATATGCCGGAGCTATTCTTTCCCTTGTGATCGCATTACTAAGTGACTGTACAACAAAGTTTTGACCAACAATTTCAAGAAATGACCTTGGTCGATATTTTTGGCTCAAGCTTCTGTGATCTGAAACTACATGATCAGCTCCACTCACAGAGAGTGCAATCCCATCCTGGCTTTTACAGCTTGACCACCTTCTGCCATCCAAACGGCTCAAAGCTTCCAGATCTAATTCTCCAAAGATGGTCGATACTTCATCACTAGCTGAATCAAATGATGAATAAGCAAAATGACTACTATCACCCAACAGTGGTACACCTTGGGAAGATTTTTTAAGATATCCATATTTATTGGAGCCTGATGATTTCTTTCTCCCATGCATTGTCTGACTTCCACACAAAAGACTGCTGCCTTTTCTTCTAAGTGTATCAGAAAGTGAAGGAGAACAACTCCTTTCAGATCCCTTGTGTTTACTCCTCTTTGACCAATAACAAGGAATGCCACACCTCTGATTTGCCAACAGTTCTGGTTGGTTCAGCCCATCGTCATCAAGTGAAGCAGCAGTTGTTCCATCCCATGAGCCTACAGTGCTAGGATTCCTCCCTTTGTACCTGTAATAGGAGCTAGTGGAGACCGGAGTACAGGAGAAGGAAGATCCTTCTCTTCTTGGCACTCTCAACAGCTTAGAAGGATTTGTTGAGCTAAAACACCCTGATGCAGCAAACAGTGGTGATGTAGAGTGAGAAAAATACCCTACTTTCTGAAGCTGCTCATGAGTCTCTGAGTTGTAGTTCTCAGTATCCTCAGACTGCTCACCAGAGTTCACATGGAGATCTAACAACTTTGAAACGGTCGAATTTCTCATAGCTCCTTTCTTTGAGAATGAACTTCTCCTCACCCTTCTAACAGTTCTTTTAACAGGAGTGCATGAATTCGAACCTTGAACACTGTATATGCTGACAGGAACTTCCAGACATGTGTCACTCCTAGAGTCCATACCGTTAGAAATACATGGGCTTTCCAGACTACAGTCTGCTGAGGCTTGTCTGTCGTCCACATCTAACTTCACTCCACTTTCACTAGATCTGTTAGAATGGTGTCTCCAGTTGTAGAGATAAACGTTTTTTCTTTTCTTTTCACTTTTGGGCGGTGCAGCAGCTGGCTCTGTGTGCTTTTCTGACAAACTACTGCCAACCTCATTGTGATTTATAACACCAGAAGTTGTCAAGAATGATTTAGAGCTTAACGGGGACCTCCAGGATGAGCATGTTTCAGGATCACGCAAGAAACGTGCCTTTCTCAAGGCAATAAGTTCCTTCTTCAGGTGAAGCTCACTGGGACCAACACACCCTTCAACCATAGTGGCCATAACTGAAGAACGAGATATATTTACAAATTAAAAAGAGAGGTATTGTCCAAGCAGGCCAATGTAGTATATCCCACTGCAATAGATCGGTTATGAACAATGTCAAAGATTACCTTGATTAAACCTGAATGGTATATGCAAAGCATATATAAGAACAACAAATGTAATAATTAACAAACATAAGAGTTCCTATCTACCTAAGAAGGAGTAATGTGCACAAACTATGGAACAATGGATCCATGAACCAGAGAGCAATCCAGAAAGTGCACTCTACTGTGGTATAAGTCGAATATCAATACCCACATTCCTTTTACATTTAAAAGTACTATAAGGTCTTGTTTGGATGTAGTCGGATTCACATTAATCCACATGTGTTGGGGTGGATTGGAGTGAAACTTAAACTAAATTCCACCCCAATCCACCTCAACACATTCGACAACATCCAAACAAGGCCTAAACAGTAGAATTCACATGTATTTTGCTACCTTGATTAAAAAAAACATGCTTTGTAGAGCTATTCCATATAACCACATGCAATTCACTCTGCAGTTCCAGAGAAGACACCTCTTCTGTTGTGCGTGTATCTACTGTGTCAACTTAGCAGCAGAATGCAGCTCGTGCCGCCAGTTTTCTAAGACGTAGGGGTTGGCATCGTCTGACCTTGTCAAGCCAAACAGCCAAAAGTGCTATAACCTCTAGTATCTCGACAGATAGGAGTCGAAGAGACCTAAATCCCTTCTCGATTCTCCAAGAGCTGCTCCTATTACAATCCCCATTATTGTAGCGCTTGTGTACTTGTTGATCAATATTAGTCAAAAAAAAATGGCATCATCCACCACTCAAGAAGTGGACGCTCAATCGGTACCTGTGTAGTCGGACTGCGGGAGTGCGGCGACTTCAGCCCAGTGAGTCGGGTTCTTCCCTCCCGGCGGCGGCGTGTCCCGTGGAGAGAGGCAGCGGTGGTGGCTCTGCGCTGCAGGCGGAGGGGCTATTTCTTGAACGGCGGCGGCGGGAGGAGCGGGGAACAAGCGGGTGCTCTGAACTCCAGGGTGCACTGCAGCGACGGCTGCTCACGCCAGGACTCCGGGCGGCGCAGTGGCCTGTATGGCCGGCATCAGCGGGTGGTGGGGCGAACAGGCGGTGGGGGAATGCGGAGATCGCGCCGGCAGTGGGGACTCCGGGGAGGGAGTGCGGGATCAGAGGAGCGCGGCGTGGGGCAGGGAGACGGGCAGCGGTGGAGCTCCCATCTGGATCTGGACAGGGCTGGGGCCTGGAAGAGGGGCAGAGCCGCAGAGAGGGCTGGGGTGCTGAGGGAGTGATGAGTGAGGTGGGAGACGGACAGCGGGGCAGGGAAGACTGCTGGGAGGGCTGGGGACAGAATCGCAACTTGGGCCGGGCCTTTTCCATTTCTAATTTGCGGTTGGCGGGAAATGAATATGATTTCTAGCACCCCCACGGGAGAAAAAAAAAGGGAAAGCACCATATACGGAGTACGTTGCTACGGTGAAACACTAATTGCGTTACTTTTTCATGAAACAGAATTATGAAACACTTCGCTTTACCTTCTTAATATATGAAACACTAATTGCTACGGTGATCTCATGCACTAGACACAATAGCAACATTCAGGAACCACTGGCCGCGTCGTGGGCGTGGCGTGCAGGCGGTCAGCAAGTGCATACTACTCCGTACATCGCACGCTTGATCGGTCGCATCCCAATCGGTCGGTCCTTGCTGTCAAATCATGTGCAACGATTGATCGGGCATAGAGCCCCTCGTGCTTTTGTTTTGGGACCACCACTTGATTTTGCGAATCGCTCGTAAAAAGTACCGATGGATTCTAAGTATATACTCCCCATCCCAAAATATCTATCATTTTCGTTTTCCAAGAAATAAATTTGACAAAATATATATTAAAAAATATTAATATTTATGGTACATAATTGATATCATTGGAAAGATCTTTAAATCTAGTTTTTTTAATAAATTTATTTGGAGATACAAATGTTGCACGTATTTTCTATAAATCGAGTTAAATTTGTGGCACGAAAATCAAAAGCTATGGATAATTTGAAACAGAAGGTGTATATGCAACGGAAGTAGTAGTAGGTAGTACAGTATTTAGCATCACCACCGTAAACATGATCACAGATCACGTACAATGAATCCGGCACCAAATAAATAACGGATCACACTTGTATCGGTACGTCGTACGCAGTGTCATCATAAACAAAACTGGTCTCCAAACGAAGAGCATGTGGGCGTGGGCGCGCACATCATGACCGCGCGGCGGCGGCCATGCACGCAAGCACATGCGCCGCGTATATTTCCTTCTCCCCGCCAGCCCAGGCCACCTGGTAGCAGAAGAAGTAGCCGAAAACCGCCGCGGCGACAGACGCTGCGGCGAAGGCCATGCCCAACAGGGACGAGGCGGCGGCGGCGGTGGCCATGGCTGCTACGAGGATCCTGCCGCTGGCCATCGTCTTTCCTAGATGAGGAGCTGAGGCAGGCGAGAGAAGCTAGTATCAACTTGTTGCCGTTGTTGTTTCCAATTTCGATGGATGGGCAAGCGGGAAGCACAAGAGGTTATAAGTAGCTGCGCGGCTGCACCTGCGCCGGCCGGCGGCCGCCTGCTGCCTAATGGAAGCTGGTGGCGAACAGGAGGGCGGCCGGCTGTAGCGTACCTGGCTTGCGTTCGAGAGCTTCGGGTGGTTGATTACTTGATTGGCTTGGTAGTTGGCACTTCCAGGGTGGTTTTCGGCGCTGGTGCCGGTTGGCTTTGGTGCCTCGCCTGTGGGAGTGTGGGCTGTGGCTGACGAGTTGGATGGAGCGGCGGAATTGTTTTTGGCAGCGCGAGCGAGCATCACATGGTAGCAACTCGCGAGCGAGCAGAATGTCGTGCCGGCTCGTGCTGTACTGCCATTGGGTGTCGCGTCGGGTCGGCGGCGGTGTAAACGATACTGACCGTTGGGGTCTGAGATTGGTCCACGTCTCTTGGCCCCGTTGGTCCAGTCTCAACGACCATTCCATGAGGTTTGATGCACATTAAATAAGGTGATACCTCAGTAAAAATGAAATCTTCGCATGTTTGAGCGACGTTTCCGAGCCATCGGAAACCGGACGACGCTTGCGTTGAGGGGGAAAGTTTCATCCCCATGGATCCGGCCCGTGCGTCTCGCCTCCGCTTCCTCCTTGCACCGCCTCCTCGATCAGCGGCGCGTCCTGCAGGGAGCTCCCGGACATTGCTCCAGGCTTCGCTGCGCCCGCCTCGACCTCCTCCTGCCGCTCGCGCGGGGGCGGGTCGGCCCGATCCGCGCCATGAACCGGCGTCGGAGCATGCGACTACTAGTCTGCTACTCTAGCAGCAGAGCAGGAGCAGACGTCCGACGACGACAAGAGGCCGGACGGCTTGCCTGCTTCGCTTGCTGGCCTGCGGCATCTCGCGTAGTCGACGTCGATTATAGCATCGCCCGCGCACGTGGATCCAGCCTCTCCGGCTGAATCGGCGTGCCTGCCTCGACGACTTAGTCTGGCTCCCACCACCGTCGCACCTGCGGGTTCCGCGGCCACCGGGCTTGACGACGCCCCAGCCTCCGGCCATGCACGCATAGGGGAACTGCTCTGGTGTAAGGTGCGTGGGGAAGGGGGCAGCACCGGTCACGACCTCACGGGGAGCTTTTGGAGCCTCCGTTTTTCCATTTTTTTTTTGATGAGTTTTTTTTTATTTTCTTGGTCCCACTCGCTGGCACCAGGAAACGTGTGGTACTTGGCCTGAGATAGACTATGCGAGTGCGTTTTTCATACATGGTTCATCCCTAGCATGCAGCTATACGGGAATAAAGTTTGATCTGAATACAACAAACGGCTACAAAGTCATCTAGCATATTTCATCACAGCAAACACAAGAATTAAATGCTACGACAAATCTATGAAACAGTGAAATGAAACTATCCTATTGAGAGAGGGTGTTTTATGTTCTAGAGTAACAGTATTGGAAACAGTGACATGAAACGTTGCATTGAGACTAGCCTTACGGTAGATTCTGATAAAAAAAGAAGCAAGTGACATTCTCAAACGCGTTGCTTTGGGGCTGATTCTCAATGCAACATTAGAGTGGGAAGTACATTACTACACGTTAGCGGTCTCATACTCCATCTCATGCAATACCACGTAGGATTTTTGCTTATGTGAAGGAAAGAAAGAGGTGAGAGAAAAGAGGTCGTTGTTTTTCGAAACAACCACCTCATGAGCTAAGATTTAGGACTATAGTACAATAGTTGTCTCATAGCAACGTCACATGATACGGAACATGCAACGTCCCAACCAACAGGGCCCTTGTCCAGCCTCGGCTGCACTTTTGCATGTTTTTACCTCCTGTGACGTTACTATATATATTTTTGACGTTCCATATGAGGTGTATGCGGTGGTGTTGGCTGGCTAGATCGACCTCAACCATTGCGAAGTGGTGTCGCTCGAGGTCACCCAGCTGATGGGCCACTACATCACTCTGTCAACATTTGCAAACGTTGTAGTGACAACCTGGAGCCCTCAACCTTCACCGACCCCTCAGGTGTGAAGGCATCCGTAGGTGGTGCCTTCCCCTTGATAGCAATAGCAACGATGCCGCAATGATAATGATACAATTAGGGCGTCCGTCCGTCCATCTGGACTACTCGCATCGCCCGCGCCACGCGCCCTTACCCGCGCAGATTCGTCGTCTCCACCGCACAGATTCGCACTCGCACTGCCCGCCACGGCCGCCTCCATCCGCTTGCCGTAGCCACTGCCCGTGCCGCCGATGAGCTCCGCACCAGTGACTTTCTCTCCACTCCGTGGCATTGAGCTCCGTGTCGGCGTCGAGCTCCACGTCGACGAGCCTCCATTCGCCCAAGCAGCAAGTAAATGTTGCGCTAAAAACACATGTTGCAACCGTATGTTTTATGTGTTTCAGATACATGTTGTAAATGTTTAATCTGGATGTTGCAAACATAGAACTAGTGCTGCATATGTTGCAATGGCTATACACACGTATGTTGTAAGTGTATGTTCCAAATGTTTCAGCTGTTTCATATGTGTGTTGCAAGTGTTTCATCTGGATATTGCAAAAGTAGATCCGAATGTTACATATGTTGCAACGACTATATAGACATATTTCAAGTGTATATTTCATATGTTACAATGACTATACATATACGTTTCAAGCGGTATACTGCATATTTTGCAACGGTAGGACCGATATTGTAGAGGGGATGAGACGTTAGGATGGGAGCGAAGCGCAGCGGAGGACGAGGCGCTGCGGGGGATAGGCACGAGGCGGAGACGGAACGCCGCGGGCTAACGCGGGGCGTAGCCGGGGTGGAATGTGGGCACGGGATGGGCGCGTGCGCGGGTGTTATGTCTGGACACGGGCGCCAGTGCATGATGGGATGCGGGTGCCGTCGTCCGTCCAGACGTCCGTACGCTAGCTGCGCCGATACCGCAAACAAGGTGAATATTTTAAGGCTTGACGCATAAGCTTGAGGACCCTCCTCAACTTCTTTCTACCTGAGACCTCCTTAGGGGTTTGATGGTGTAATGTGTGAGCAGTGGCGGATCTAGGAATTTAACTTAGGGTATGCCGCTAAAATTTTTTCATATACAATTTGGTAAAAACAATTTGTAAATTCGGTAATAATTATACAATTATAACATAATTTGATATACACGCACTCAGTTACAGAATAAGTTTCAAATTCAAACGCCTAACAGTTCAAAGTTTAGACATAAATAAAAGAGTGCAGGTGACTTATAATACTACTTGTTTGGCTTTTTTAGGTGAATACTTTCTAAGAGACATGAGTGTCTTGATTATATTATTTTTATTAACAACTTTAAAAAATATCCCCTCGATGTGAAAAGAAGAAAAGAAAAGAGTAGAGACTCACCTCTGTGGCCGGTAGTCAGGTTAGCAGCGGAGCAGCCTAGCAGATCCTTGACTCCTTGATCTGATAGATCCCGATCATAATTAGTCACGACTCTCCTTTGCTCGTAGCCACGCTAGGCGGCGGGTGCATATGCGGCTTCGCTGACTAGAGTCGTCGGCGGGCTGAGACTCCGTCGATCCATTGCACATCACTTCCGAATTCTGCGCGGCGGCGTCTGAGCCATGGACTCCAACTCCCAAGTTATGTTGTGTGGCCAAGGCGTCACCGTGTGGGGCTCTCCAGAGTCAGGTCATGTGGGCTATGTCCGCGGGCCACGTTGGCCATGGGCCTGGAAGTGGAAAGTGGAATGGGCGTCACGAGTGGTGAGCGGAAAGCATCCAGACGCCACATGGCCGCTGGTCATCTTCCATGTACGATTTTTCTCAAATCTACACGTATATACGTACTCTATACTTGCTGGACTGCAGGGTATGCCGGTGCATAACTGGCATACCCTTACCCTGTAGATCCGCCCCCGTGTGTGAGGTTGGCTTTAACTGGCTTAGAACTCTCGGATTTTCTAAACTCCGGATGCCTTACGTATGCGAGGAACTATTAAAAAACTGACTTGAAAAAAGGCTCCCGAAAAATAAGTGGATCCATTATCAATGAACAGGACGTCTTACATAATAATTAGTGAGTTTGAAATTAAAAAGGTAAAACAGTTTCTCACCGGTCGCTTCTTTCTAAGTTTCACCAATAAAAATTCAAATGGACGACCGCATTCCGCATGAGCTAGCAGAAACGATTAAAAAACATTACAGCGCGTATTATCGCATTGCGTGGTAAACTGGTCGTGTCACTTACGCTCTGTGCCCTTCGAGTAACCCAGTTTTTTCAATTTTGCAGACTTCCCTTCACACGGCTTCTTTTAGACATCTTGCGTATGCAAACTGCGAAAGTAGCTATTGGCAAGTATATATACGAACCACTTTACATTGTCACGTATAGTCCTCGAATTGGGGGATGAAATGAAATACAAGAATATACATCGAGACTCAAAGAATCGGCAAACAATCTCAGAACGAACAGTACATGCTATGTATTTTTAGCAGAAGAGGTAGCCAAAAGCGACAGCGGTGACGGATGCGGCAGCTAAGGCCGGCGAGGCGACCGTGGCGCCCGAGGTAGGAGCTGGGGCGGGCGCGTCGGCAGCGGAGGCCGTGCCGACGAGGGATGAAGCGATGACCACAGCGGCCGCGGCCACGACGAGGACCTTGGCCTTCAATTGCCCTGCCATCTTTCTTTTCGGTAGCTTCTGTCGATCGAGAGGAGGCGAGGAATCGATCGTTGGGTAGCAGTGGCGACTGCGAGAAGCAGAATTCTTGTCCCGTCGCTCTTGTTTTCGGTGGATGCACAGAGAGGGAGAGAGGCAAGCATTATATAGAGCTGGGCCGACGGGAGAGGCCGTCAGGCTTACAGGAGGATGTCCGGCTGTCACGTAGCTGGCCTCGGTTCGGTGTGGTCGGGTGGGCGCTTTGCCTTGCTCTGGCTGGCTGTTCCTGGGTTCATCATGA